CAATGGCTCCATGCCCCTTGTGAAGAAATCGTAATAGCGAGGCCTTACATACAAGGTCATAGAATCACATGCCAGGATGTATTTTTCACTTACAGACCATGCATTTCCTTCTATATAAATTTTGTACCTGCAAAAAACCAAATCTCTATACATAAAGAAAACAAAGGAAATTGACCCAAAAAAGAAAACAAAGGAAATTTTAAATTTGTAAAATGTAATTTCAAAAACAAAACAAAATTGCAAAAATTACCTGTGCTTGCACTGGTTTTCTAGGTTTGAATCCTTGAACCCATGTTTTGATTCTTGCTTCCAATTCTGGAAATAGAAGATCAAAACATTGCACAAATGAATACATAAAAAGATGGGACATTTTGGAAAAAGCAAAAGGAGAGAGAAAAATTTTAAAAGAAGCAAAAATGGACAAAAATGTCCTTATTTATTTTTATATTTCCTAAGGAATCCAATACATTTGCATGTCTTTGATTTGAAAGTTGAGTGGTTTTTTTGTCTTTTTTGAAAAAGCTTTGGCTTTTTCCAAAAGTGAAATTTTTTTTATGTCTAAAACCTAAAAAACCTTAAAAGGATTGCATTTTATACATAATAATAGTTAGAGAAGTTGATGCACCTGAATATATAGGTGTGTGTTCCAGTCATTTTTGTCCGAGACATTGCATTTGAGAAGGTCCATTCTGGTTCGAGCCACAGTTGGGTTACCTTTCCAGTAAGCATAGGGCACCCTGTCTTCCCACTTTGTTCTTTTATTGCCTTCTTTTATGATTTGCAATAAGCTTCCCCATGGTTTTATATTGGTCTCAGGCCTACCAAAATTAAAATTAGCCCATCTACAAATTTCATTAATAAAATTAATTTCTCCTCTGAAATCTCTTTTTTTTTTTTTTTCGGTCACCCAATTCAAATGTTTGGGCCAAAGTTGGTGGAGTTTGGGCAAAAGTTGGTGGAGATGAAAAGGGTTTTGGGCCACACATCTTGTACAAAAATTTATGGGCCAGAGTTTTTAATTCTCCTCTTTTCAAATGGGTATAGAACCATAATTCATATATAATACATGATTCCTAACGTAAACAAAGTAACAAAAACAAAGGGCATTTCACATGTATGAGCAAGACAAAAGCAAATATTTACCAGCCCCAAAAAGACCAATCTGGGAACACAATATCCAAGCTCCCCTCGTCCCCGCAATAATGAAACGATGGCGGCGGGTTAGCATTCGGACCCCGAAACTTCTTTGATGGGATGACGGGCAGATCACCACAGCTAAAAATGAGCTCCAAGTCAGGCAATCTACCGGGGTACACCCTTAGAAGCTGCAAAATGCCCCATAACGTAAACATATCCCTACTTTGAACGGATTGTCTATACTTCTCTATGTAAGCCTTACCGTCCACAATAAAGAGCTTAAAATTCGCAGTCATGTGGGCCCGCTCTATCATGTCCCTTGTGATTCCTGTCTCTTTCCATGGCCGTAGATCTTCGTGGATCCATCGGAAGTATGATGGGCATGTGAGATTGGATGGACGGCTAGGATTTGCAGGGTCATGTGTGTTAGGGTAGGTTCTTGGACAACCTTGTGTCACATTAATTCCTTCGATACACTGCAGTGGGAATTCAGGTCTCTTGGGTGTACTTGTGTTTGTGGTTGTTGTGATTGATTTCTTAGAATAAGCACCTGAATATATAAACTAAGAGAGAAAAATATGAATTGTATACGTTAGTATCAAAGGAGAGATTTTGATACAAAGAACTTTTCTATGCAATGCAAAGCTAGATATGACTTGTACTTCAATAAATTTTCTTTGTATTTCTTTTCTGATAACTAATATTTTGTTTCTTAGTAATATCAGTTTAGTATACACATTCCTAGGCAATTCTCACTTAACTAGTTGCTCACATACCCCATACTTGTCACGAAAATTTGACTCTCGCTCTCCCTCGTATCTAATGCAAGCACGCTCTCCTTCAACCTAAAAGAAAACCATCTGACCACCGATCTAATAGAGGTGGAACTAAGAGACATAAGTTTCACCCTAGTTAAAGAGATCGTGAACTAGGTGACTAGTAAACCCCTTTCAAATATTTCTAGTTTTTGAAATCTTGGTCCTATTAGTTTTACTCTGAAAAAAACAAAACGAAACACACACACAAAAACACTATGACAGAAGATAGAATGCCTATGTTATAACTTTATATATAGCTAGCACGATTGGAGTTCATGGCACTTACAGCATCGATCCAGCCTGCAGTTACCAACGCAGCAACAAAGAAGTTCAACAACAATAACAAGCAGATTAGAGTAGTTGTTGCAGTTCTCAATGGCCTCCAACTTGTTCCTACAAAATGCCTATGCAATCCAGTCCCATCCAAGAAATCACACAAATGCTTCGCATCGTTCCTTTTCATGTTTATGCTTCAAAGTTCTCTTCCAAGAGACCTTGAGATGAGATAGCCCTGCTGTCCTGTCCTGTAATGCTTTCTATGCTGTATACTCAGTCTTTGTGGACTTCAACCAAACGTCCTTGGCTTTATATATATAAGGGTCCTCGGCTTCCTAAAATTTCGACAACAACAAAATCCCTGAGTTATTTTATCCCTACCCCAAAAAAATAAAGGTTAATAAAGTTGACTAAATTTTGGTTATGTTCCCATGATACAACTACAACAAAAACGCTATTTACAGAAAATATATACACTATTCTTCAAAAAGGTACATCATTTATTTTAATAGGTACCTAATATTTTTACCAATCATAATAGTTACCTAATATACAATGTACCTACATGTAAGTAATGTACCTATAAATATATATATATATACATTCTTTTTATTTATAAGATAATAAGTAATTTCTCGTTCATAAAAAATTAAATAATTAGGTACATTATATTGTCAAATCCATTAGTAGGATCCTAAATCAGGATCCTATTTCGATGATCCCGAACCCGATCCAGAATCAGGATCCTATTTTGACGACCCCGACTACGAATGGGTCTTTGAAGTTAGGCATTCGTGTTTGAAAGGCTTTAGTTCACGTTTTTTTCCACCGTTTGCTCCATTTTCGCATGAATGATTCCATAATGCAAGAAGAGAAAAAGTGTCCAAGTCTAGGTCTTGACCTAACGAGGAGCCAAATTGGCCAAGGGTTGCGTTTTTTGGACGAAACTGGTATAACATTCAATCAGAGCACTCAAGGCAGTGCCAAATTACAACAGAGCAAGAGTCCAGTGAACGGGGGACTACAGCAGAAACTGATAAAAGTAAAAACATCAAACAGAACACGACTACAAAGTGGAATGTAAAAATAAAAAATAAGTTGCTTCAGAAATCCCATAAAGCGTCCAGAACATTCCAGCATTGCTCAAATGGAAAATTTAATTCTTTTGACAAATTCAATCGTGTTCATATACTTGAATGTATTTAAAATAAAATATTTTTAAAAAAGGTCAAAATATGGTTACCGTGACAAATTACTCGATTTACTCAAACATGTTGCAATGACTACAATTTGAACTTCAAGTAGAAAACTAATTATTCACATCGTTTACTTTGACTTAGTTACTCTCTAGCTTTTATTTATTTATTTATATTTATTATACTTTCACTTTGTTTCAGAGCTCTTAAGTCATACGGATGTTGAGAGAGAGAGAGAGAGAGAGAGACTGAGACAGAGACAGAGACAGAAGGATGATCAATTGAATACTGTAAAAGAGGGGACACGGTTAAAGTGATTGTTGCAGAGAAATAAGGTTGAGTTGTAACGTGCATGCTTAAAGGGGAAGGGAAAACGATGTGAAGAGCTGATGAATTGCTTGCTTCCATTCAAATAATCGATCACCATGTTTATGCAATATGCTTGCTTTCTAACGTGAATTAAAGAAGATGAAGGAAAAACGTGAATTGGGTTTTACCCTTTTTAATGCGACTCTTTTACGATTAAGCTTTCATGATTCACAATCTGACTAAGGGCTCGTTGTAGAGTGATTAAAGTGATTATATGAAAAAGCATGTGGAAGTGCTCTCATAATTAGACTTGCCAGCAAGTGAAACCCACATCACTTTTGTGAATTATTGCTAATGGGTGAAACTTCTGTACAGTGTAAAGTCTAGATAGGTAGGGACTGAGGATGAAATTTGGCTCACGGCCGCAACAATTGCCTTGTGGGACGGATTATTTGCTTAATAGTATGTGAACGGATTGAGTTCTTAAGACTTTTGAAGTTCAGAGTAAGTAGTACGTAACCTGCAAAATAATTAATTGAATTCAATGTGAGTAAAGCATGTGGCAAGCAGGCCACAGATACTACGTTAGCGCAGTGTGCAAAATTCGTTGCTTCCTTTGATTGATCCCGTAGGAACTCACAATTGGAGACAAAGAACCAATCTTCTGGGTGCGCATTATTAGTCCCAGAATTCAGAATAATTTATCTTTAATCAATATTAACAACCCAATGCAGGCAAAGAAAAATATATTTTCTGATTCAAGCTCTCCATAATATTCGTATCGTTCGTCTAACTTTTCTTGTATGTTCATATAACCATCCTAGTAACACTTCCACTTGAAGTTTTCCTATCAACAACAACATGAGTTAAAACCAGAGGATCAAACCTTCATCCAGGGTGGCACTAAAAGTTTGCTCGCGAAAAAAACCGTGCAGCTGCTGCTAGTTAGCAAACTGAACCGAAACATTTACTGTGAATCTCCTACCAGCTTGTTTCATGAAGAGATGATATGCTAAAAGGTGCATTTACAGCATTGACAGCCGACAGGTGAAGCAATGAACGTTCCCTTGTTAGACCAACACAGACCCTTCCCTTTATATTATATTCTTGAAGCTGGCAGAACTGTCCTTGTCGAACCACATAGATATACTGAAAAGCTCTAAATAATTAGTGCAAAGTAATACTCGATTACCATATTAATTTCACAATGAAGATCATAATATGCACAATGAAGAGTATTCACTCTGAGTATCCACTGGCCTCACTATATCATGGCAGAGAATGCCTCAAAATGTGGGAGTTTCAGAGGCCAATTACTAAAGGGAGGTCTTCTTTTTAGAATTTTTGAGGTTAAATTGAATTCCTGCGCCATTTCCTGCATAAGATAACCAGGTGAAATTAGCTAATAGATGAAAAGTCATATCCAGTTGACACCTTGCCACTAGTTAATTAAGAACCAGTCGTTACATAACTAATCCATAAATTTTGTACCAGCAGATGTTGAGCAGAAGCTAAATCTACAGATATCTGATACTGCACCCACAATCCCTACACATAGTTTTGAAGCACTTTTTGTCAATCAAAGCACAAAGACCTCGTACACTTCCAAAATATAAACCACTTGCACAACTTCTCGGTTGCATAATTTACTGTCATGAACTGTAGTCATCATATTGAAATCCCATATTAGTGGCTGCCAGTAGCAATAGTATATGCATTTATAATAACCATCTCTAATGCAATATCACAGAGTACACACTTCACAAACCTGGTTCACTTGAAAGGGACTCATTAGCTTATTTGACAACGGTAGAATGCGATCATGCAGTGCTTGTTTCAAGCGATCAACCACAAAAACCATTTCAGAGCCGTGAGGCGATTGTCCAACAGTAATGGAAGAAAGGTAAACAGGTTGCAGAAAGAATGAAAGCAGAGCTCCTGAAATAAGAATATGTATGACCTCATCAACTAACTTATAACTAGTAATGCCACGTAACCAAGTACGGCCAATATAATCATGAAGATTAGTCAAACTGGCTCAGTCTAGGTACACCATCAAACATTCAAGGATGCCCGACCAAAAGAAGCCAGGTGTGTATTTAGACCAGAGTTTCAATATCCAGGATTGACTGAATGAAGCCCTATCTTGGGTACATGATAGATCAAATGACAAACCTTGAACTCCAACTACATTCCAACGAGCCATCTTGTCAGAGCAACTAACTGATAAAGTCGTATCACCACGACCAGGCTTTCTTTGAACCGAGCCAATTAGTTGTGAAACATCACCTGAAAATATGGTAACATACAGATGCTACATGACTCAAATCTCATGTCAAGAGTAATGATTCATTTCTCAAAAAAAAGCTGCCAACATTCACTAGAAAAATATTCAACCCACCACATTATGGTGAAAAATGGAAACATAAATTTTTTGCACATATAAAACAAAGAAGAGGACAAGTACAAAATCCCATTACCATTAGTATTTGGCAGAGCCTCTTCATTTATTGAAACATTAAGCTCGTCCAAAGATGAACCCCGTTCTGTTGGTGACATGTTTTTAGGGGGGGACAACAGTGAACTTGGAGATGCAACCCCACCTGCAAGAAAGGAGAATAAGTATAATCGCAGTATTGGTTTGTCCTGATATAGATATAAAGATCTAAGGAGGGCAAAAACCAAAGAAAAAAGGACTCTCTTTTCTTGGATATGAACAAGAACTGACATGGTAGTTGTGATATGTACAAGTGTAATTGCAAACCCTTCCTCAGTTTGTATTCTCCTTGGCCATCACCATTAGGGTCCAATTCAAAAAGCAAGTTTTTGGCATCACCATTTTGCATTTGTGTGCTTCCATTGCTATCACTTTGCTTACTATAAACTTGAGTAAGACACTGAATCTGTGCATAGAAGAACCTAGTGCCAGAGAAGCCAAGTATACCAATGAGCACCATACACTAAAAATATAAGGTAGAGATATAGGTAACAAATGCAAATCCCCCCCAAAAAAAATTGGTACTTTTCAACTAAGCACACATAATTTGGACAACTAAACAAATTAAATTTGCTAATGAAATGAATATATAGCAACAAATAAAAACCTCAGTAAAGATCTTCAAGCTATAATCTCGGCGTGGGAATCATTGACGACATCACTGTTGGAGCTCAAGAGTGAACGCCCAAGACATTTGGTCCCAGTTCCCAACGCGACAACTTCCAATTCTGAACAATTGAAAGTGTTAAGAACACTGTTTGCTTTCCAGGAAAGTGCAGGAAAATCAAATTTATAAAATAAAAAACGAAGGAAAGTAGGACCAAGACGGTGACTTCGAATATTCTCGTACAGCATTATTATTTTCAGATTTTATTCGTATATTGGCGTATGTCAGATTTTATTGTGTTATTTTTTAGGGACATTTTGGAAAAGGCGAAATGAGAGAAAAAAAATTTAAAAGAAGCAAAAATGGACAAAAATGCCATTATTTATTTTTAGATTTCCTAAGGAATCTAATACATTTGCATGTCTTTAATTTGAAAGTTGAATGGTTTTTTTGTCTTTTTTGAAAAAGCTTTGGCTTTTTTCAAAAGTGAAATTTTTTTGGGAGTTTCACTAAAACACCCAAAATGGAGGTTGAAATTATAAAAAAACCCAACACCAAAAACACTTTATAAACACACCCAAAACCCATCATTACACACACTCAAAACCCATTTATAAACACACCCAAAAAGTTGACTTTGGGGTTGATTTTGGGTGTGTTTCTATGTTTAAATAGTGCTTGAGTTTTTTTATAAATACATGTCTAGGATTGGGTTTATTTATAAATTTGTAAATTTTTTTTATATCTAAAACCTAAAAAACCTTATTTTTTATCACTTATCTCTGAAAAATTCTTAATGTAAAACTCATGAAATACATTGAAACAAACCATCAGAGTGATATTTACCAGTCTAGGACATATAAATTTATAAGTCATGGCCTATGGAACCCATGGTAAAAAAAAAACGCTCCTATTGCTTTTTTTCAATACTTTGCCAATATTCATTTTCCCAAGCTTCCACTTGCCTAGTTGAGTTAGCCTTTCTCTCAAGAAAATCGCGGAGAGCCAGAGGATCATACGGAGGAGGCAGAGTGCATGGGAGCTCATCACTTGGAGACTCCACCATAGACTCCACCATGAACTTTTTAAATGTACCAGTTGCAGGGCATGCCATTTTTTCTGAGCACAGTTCCACTGCATTGGGAGGTATAGTTGGTTTGAATTTCAAGAGCTTCGCATATTCATTTAGCACATGAAACATGTAATCATACACATAGTCCATCTTTAGATCTTCTTGTATGAAGTTGCTCGCAGCCTCCCCAATCACCTTCGCCTGCCATATTCACAATATACCAAATGTTAATCATTTGAATGTGCGATTGAAATTCACAGTCTAACAACATAACATGTCACACTATTCAACAAAAAAATAAAAATAAAAAATCAGCATACGGCTGAAGTTCTAACCTTGTCTTTGTGATTATTGCCCCATTCCACAGCAAACTTGAGAGAAGTGCACTTGTTGTTGTCCCTAATAGGCCAAAAGTGCTGCAATGGCTCCATGCCTCGAATGAAGAAATCGTGATAGCGAGGCCTTACATACAAGGTCATAGAATCACATGCCATGATGTATTTTTCACTTACAGACCATGCCCATCCTTCTATATAAATTTTGTACCTGTAAAACCAAATCTCTATACATAAACAAAGAAAACAAAGGAAATTTTAAATTTGTAAAATGTAATTTCAAAAACAAAGACAAAAAAAATTGCAAAAGCTACCTGTGTTTACACTGGTTTTCTAGGTTTGAATCCTTGTACCCTTGTTTAGATTCTTGCTCCCAATCCTGGAAATAGAAGATCAAAGAATTGCACAAATGAATACATAAAAGATTGCATTTTATACATAATAATAGTTAGAGAAGTTGATGCACCTGAATATATAGGCGTGTGTTCCAGTCATTTTTGTCCGAGACATTGCATTTGAGAAGGTCCATTCTGGTTCGAGCCACATTTGGGTTACCTTTCCAGTAAGCATAGGGCACCCTGTCTTCCCACTTTGTTCTTTTATTGCCTTCTTTTATGCTTGGCAATAGACTTCTCCATGGTTTTATATTGGTCTCAACCCTACCAAAATTAAAATTAGCCCATCTACAAATTTCATTAATAAAATTAATTTATCCTCTAAAATCTCTTCTTTTTTTTCTTTTTTGTTTGGTCACCCAATTCAAATGTTTGGGCTAAAGTTGGTGGAGATGAAAAGAGTTTTAGGCCATACATCTCATATAAACAATTTATGGGCCAGAGTTTTTAATTATTTGCTTTTCAAATGGGCAAGAAATTGGGAATTGATTGAACCCAAATTCATATGTAAGAAATGATTCCTAAAGTAAACATAGAAACAAAAATAAAGGGCATTTCACATGCAAACATAACATGCATAAGACAGAAGCAAATATTTACCAGCCCCAAAAAGTCCAATCTGGGAACACAACATCCAAGCTCCCCTCGTCCGCGCAGTATCGAAACAATGGCGGCGGGCTAGCATTCGGGCCCCGAAAGTCCTTTGATGGGATGACGGGCTGATCACCACAGTTAAACATGAGCTCCAAATCAGGCAATTTACCGGGGTACACCCTTAGAAGCTGCAAAATGCCCCATAACGTAAACATATCCCTAGTTTGAAAGGATTGGCTATACTTCTCTATGTAAGCCTGGCCGTCCACGATCAAGAGCCTAAAATGCGCGATTTTGCGGGCCCGCTCTATCATGTCCCTCGTGATTCCTGTCTCTTTCCATGGCCGTAGATCTTCGTGGATCCATCGGAAGTATGATGGGCATGTGAGATTGGATGGACGGCTAGGATTTGCGGGGTTGTGTGTGGTAGGGTAGGTTCTTGGACAACTTTGTGTCACATTAATTCCTTCGGTACACTGCAGTGGGAATTCAGGTCTCTTGGGTGTGCTTGTGTTTGTGGTTGTTGTGATTGATTTCTTAAAATAAGCGCCTGAAAATATAAACTAAGAGAGAAAAACATGAATTGTATACGTTAGTATCAAAGGAGAATTTTGATACAAAGAAATTTTCTATGCAATGCAAAGCTATGTATGACTTGTACTTCAATAAATTTTCTTTTTATTCCTTTTCTGATAAATAATATTTCGTTTCTTTGTAATATCAATTTAGTATATACATTCTTAGGCAATTCTCACTTAATTAGTTGCTCACATACCATACTTGTCACGAAAATTTGACTCTCGCTCTCCCTCGTATCTAAGGCAGGCACGCTCTCCTTCGAGCTAAAAGAAAACAGTCTGACCATCGATCTAATAGAGGTGGAACTAAGAGACCTAAGTTTCACCTTAGAGAGATCGTGAACAAGGTGACTGGTAAACCCCATTCAAATGTTTCTAGTTTTTGAAATCTTGGTCCTAATAGTTTTACTCTAAAAAAAATAAAACAAAACACATACACAAAAACACTATGACAGAAGATAGAACGCCTATGTTAGAACTTTATATATAGCTAGCACGATTGGAGTTCATGGAACTTACAGCATCGATCCAGCCTGCAGATACCAACGCAGCAACAAAGAAGATCAACAACAAAAACAAGAAGATTATAGTTGTTGCAGTTCTCTTCTTCAATGGCCTCCAACTTGTCCCTACAAAATGCCTATGCAATCCAGTCCCATCCAAGAAATCACACAAATGCTTCGCATTGTTCCTTTTCATGTTTATGCTTCAAAGTTCTCTTCCATAGAGGACCTTGAGATGAGATAGCCCTGCTATCCTGTCCTGTAATGCTTTCTATGCTGTGTACTCAGTCTATGTGGACTTCAACCAAACGTCCTTGGCTTGCTAGCTTCTTCTATATATAAAGGGTCCGTTAGATATAGGCCCTTGTAATTCTTATATCCTAAACATATACGCATTCATATCTAAATTTCTGTCTAAAACCTAATTTTAAAATATTTTGCCATACAACTACAACAAAAAAGCTATTTACAAAAAATATATACACTATTTTTTAAAAAGGTACATCATTTATTTTTAAAATAGTATATTATTTTTACCAATCATAATAGGTACCTAATATACAATGTACCTACATGTAAATAATGCACCTATTATACAATGTACCATTCATAATAGGTACGTTAGTTTGTAGTAGATGTGTTATTTACAAAAAGATCCTAGGAACATTAAAAAATTGTTATATTATTTTCCATAAAATATATTTATTTATTTATATATATATATACATTCTTTTTATATAAGATAATAATTAATTTTTCGTTCATAAAAAATTAAATAGTTAGGTACATTATATTGTCAAATCCATTGGTATGTTTAATCATAAAAGGTAAGTAGAAAATTTTCTTAAATAACTAACATTGTTTTAATTAAAGAAAATAACATCCTGGTTCTTAACATCTTTAGGTATTTTGGAATCTAAAAAGTAAAATAAATCAGATTTTCAACTTGATTAAGTAACTTGTTGAATTGGATTCTAGTTATGGGTTTTTAACTATAAAAATTGAATTTTATTTATAGATAAAGAAGGTGGTGGGTTGGATGTAAGAGAAAATTAATTTAAAGAGGTTAAGCCAGATTTACTAAAATCCCCAAAAGGTAATTTTCTCTCATCCGGTATCTGGATTTTATGTTGTCAAACTATCAATTTAGATAATACATTCAAATACGAGTTGGCATCATTAAATGGTTCTCATTAATGGTTTTATACCATAACATGTTAGATTAAAGATTTACATGTATATGTTGCGTGTGTGATGTTGGAGTGACTTGTGGACCATTGACTTACTTTTCTTTCACACCAAGAATTCCTATTATAATTGTAATTGATTTACTTTAATTCCTGATTTCCTACTATAAATAGAAATATGAATTTATTATTTACTTGCCCATTAAAGTTCCGTTGTATTATAAATATAACCTCCTACAATGAGAAGAATACATAGAAAATTCCCACAAACAAATATTCTCATATTAGGTTTCCTATTTTAGCATGGTATCGGAGCGGCAATTTTGGAATTGCTAACTCTAGTTTCAAACCCCCGCCGTTATGAGAGTTGATGATTTTTTCAACCCTCATGGAGGTAGCACCACCCACTCATTCTCTCCTTCTCAACCAACCATAGCTGAGTTGAGTGCCCAGATGGCTCAGCTACTACAGATGTAGACTTTTACCCTGAACCTGATCCTGAATTAGGATCCTATTTTGACGACCCCGACTACAACGACAACAACAACCCCAACCCTGACTCCGATGATTACCCCGACCCCGAATTTGTCTCTGATTTAGACCCAAATCCCAACTTCGATTCCAATTTCAATCCCAACCAAGGCTCAGATCCTGATCCGGATTCCTACTAAACTTATATCTTATGCATCTTCCGCTGCACAGATTATGACTTCTCGACTAATGACCCCGACACTTGGACGAGATTGCACATATTGTGGTAATCCAAGACACACTCATGAGACTTGTTTTAAATTGCATGGCTACCCCGAATGGTAGGCTACTCTTAAAGATCAAACACAATGTGATACATCCAGTAGACTTCAGATAAGAGTGATTCCACTAGCTGGACAATTGATTCCAGTGCAACCAATCATATGATGTTTGATCTTGATGATTTTATGAATACTACAGAACCCTGACGAACTTGTATTGCTAATGTCAATGGAGTTACTTATCCTGTAACAGGGACTGGCACTGTTGCACTATCGTCCTCTCTCACTGTCTAATACTTTACGTATTCCATATTTATCGAATAAATTGATGTCTGTTAGTCAGTTTACTGAAAATTGTTGTGTACTCATTTACCCAAGTTTTTATTTGCTTCAGGATATTCACACTAAGGAGATTCTTGGTCTTGGTACTAAGAAAGGAAGGCTATATTATGTAGATGACTTCAGTCCCGACATGGCTAACAGTGTGATGCATCCCTCTAATAGCAAACAAAAGCAAATCTTTTTGTGGCACCATCGATTGGGATATCCATCTTTTAGTTAGTCGGGCGGCAAAATATATTTCCACATTGCACCAACAATAAAAATATGGATTTCTCTGTAGGCTCATCTTTTGAGGGGTGAAAATCTCACATCGAAAATCCACACTCTTATAAAGGTGTTTATAAACAAAACACTATGACGGTTTGGTAAGTGTGGTTAACGTTGGAGAGTTGGGTTAATGGGTTTGGCTATAGGCTCGGCTTTGATTATATTAATCAAAGACTAAGGCCTTGGGCCTCTTGGGATCTGAGGAAATTTAATTAAGACACCCAGAGTAATTACCCGTACAAAGAATTTAGCACTTTCATGTTTAAATACACATATTTTGAACAAAAGTTTCAATAAGACAACACAAAATTAAAGTACTATACAAATAATCCTCACATATTACTGAATAAAACTAATATATAGTGACATAACTTTTAAGTTTTAAAAAGGTCCTATTTTTTATTATTAAAAAATAGTATAGCCGGTCGGCTTTACTCGTAATTTAAATAAATAAAAAAGTATAGCGGGCTATACTTATTTTGACACATGGGCGCGTAGTCGCAAAAGGGTCCTCTTCTTTACGTGTATAAATAGTAACTTCGTTTTCCTATGTTTTTGGGTAAAATAGTATAGTCGGTCGGCTGTACTCGGTTTTTATTGTTTTTTTTCTCTAAATCGTATAGCCTCGATCGTTTTCCAAAAAAATAAAAATAAAAAATATAAGGGACATATAGGCACCAAATCAAAAGGGACTGAATCACCATTTTGCAATTGTGTGCTTCCATTGCTATCACTTTGCTTACTATAAACTTGAGTAAGACACTGAATCTGTGCATAGAAGAACCTAGTGCCAGAGAAGCCAAGTATACCAATAAGCACCATACACTAAAAATATAAGGTAGAGATAAAGTTAACAAATGCAAATTCCCCCTAAAAAATTGGTACCTTTCAACTAAGAACACATAATTTGGATGCATTTCATGCCACATGAAGCATAGCACTCGTAAATTAGCAAATTTTTATTTATTAAAATCTTGCATTAGCAGCTAAACAAATTAAATTTGCTAATGAAATGAATATATAACAACAAATAAAAACCTCAGTAAAGATCTTCGAGCTATAATCTCGGCGTGGGAATCATTGACGACATCACCGTTGGAGCTCAAGAGTGAACGCCCAAGACATTTGGTCCCACTTCCCAGCGCGACAACTTCCAATTCTGAACAATTGAAAGTGTTAAAGAACACTGTTTGCTTTTCCAGGAAAGTGCAGGAAAATCAAGTTTAGAAAAGAAAAAACGAAGGAAAGTAGGACCTTGAGAAGGAGAGGAAACGAGGAAAGCAGCCAAGACGGTGACTTCGCGACCCTGAGGCTTGCCTTTCTTGGGAAGAGAGTTGTAGAGTGAGAACACCTTGTCCGAGACCTTCTCGCCCTACTCTATTTTTTAAGAAGAAGAAGGAGCAGACGACGGGGTTTCAAAGCAGGACGGCGACGCCATGCTGTAGAAAATGGTGGTATGGGGTGAGCGTGAGTAAGAGAAGAGAGGCTCGCACCTCCGATTTCTGGTCATTCGGACCACTACGTGGTTGGATTTGGATTGGGTGGTCTTCCAATTCATTTTTTGGGTCTAGAATTGGGCCAATCTTATGCACCCAAGAAGAAATGAAAGAAGCCCAATTTCACCATTTTCCATAACAAGACTGACCCAAGCATAAAGATACCAACTACAAAATGATTGAAGGGAGATTTCAACTTAAGACCTATTTTAATATTAATAAATTATACAAATTTATAAATAAACTCAATCCTAGACATGTATTTATAAAAAAATCCAAGCACTATTTAAACATAGAAACACACCCAAAATAAACCCCAAAGTCAACTTTTTGGGTGTGTTTATAAATGGTTTTTGAGTGTGTGTAATGATGAGTTTTGGGTGTGTTTATATGTTTAAATAGTGCTTGGGTTTTTTTTATAATTTCAACCCCCATTTTGGGTGTTTTAGTGAAACTCCCAATAAATTATCACTAGATCAAGAGAGTTGATATTGAATATAGAGCTCATTTGGGAGTGCTTTTGGAGCAGCGAAAAGAGCTTCTAAATGGGTGAAAGTGCTTATGTCTTTTAAAAATGGTGTTTGGCAAAAATTGCAAAAGCGTTTTGGGTGAAATCCAAAGGGACTTGGAGTGGTTTTGGAAGAAGCACTTGAGAGGTGCTTCTTCTTAAAAGCGCTGCAGGACAAAAACAAGGGAAGCACTTGGCTCCCTTTAATGAAACTTTTAAAATGCCGAAAATACCCATATATTTAATTTTTTTTTTAATGCCAAAATACCCTTTATTTCTTCTTCTTTTTTTCCTCTCTTTTTCTCTCATATTAAAACCAAAACACTACATGTGAAAAGGCCAACAGATGCCAAAACACCCCTGTAAACCCTTAAGCTTCTATTAATCCGTCATTATCTTTACATTTCATAACTTTTTTAAGTCATGTTTTTATTTTGGGATCCTGGGAATTTTTATTTCCTATGTTTATTATAATATTTTGGGAAAACACTTTTAAATGTGACATCCAAACGACAAACTGTTTTTTTTTTTTTTGTAGAAGCGCTACTAGCATAAGCGCTTTAGAAAGAAGCACTCCCAAACGAGCTCATAGTCTCACTTGTAAGTGCTTATGTGAGAAGCACTTTTACTCGTAAGGGGTTTTTAGTTCGCTAAAAACGATTTCAGCCATTCTAAAAGCACTTCCAATTCTTGTTAAGTGAAATATCATTTATCCTCCTACTTGAGCACTTCTCGATCCCCTCTTTAGTATGAATAATGCTATTTGAAGATCAATAATGCTATTTGTGCCATATCTACTAACTCATATAGGACCCACCTGTATTAGAAAAACAATCAATAAGATAGTCAGTAAAGATTGTGCAAATAGTAGCACTCTTATGTGGGATCTCTTAGGGCTCATTTGTGAGTGCTTCTTCTTGAAGCGCTTATACTAGTAGTGCTTATGTCAGTAGCGCTTATGACATAAGCGCTTTTACAAAGAAGTAGTTTGTCGTTTGGATGTCACATTTAAAAGTGTTTTTACACTATATAAAAGTGCTTTTGATATTTTGTTGAGTGTTTGGCTGACACAGTAAAAGTGCTTTTAAAAGTACTTAAAAAAATGTAAAGAATCTCAAAATATTATAATAAATGTAGGAAATATAAAAAAAGAGGAAAAAGAAAAAGAAAGAAAGGAAGGGTATTTTGGCATTTTAAAAATTAAATATGGGTATTTTCGGCATTTTAAAAGTTTCATTAAAGAGAGCCAAATGCTTCTCTTGTTTTTATCCTGCAACGCTTTTAAGAAGAAGCACCTCTCAAGTGCTTCTTCCAAAACCACTCCAAGTGCTTTTGGATCTTCCCCAAAGTGCTTTTGTAATTTTTGCCAAATACCATTTTTTAAAGACAGAAGCGCTTTCACCCATTTAGAAGCGCTTTTAGTTGATCCAAAAGCACTCCAAAACGAGCCCTAGTCCATATTCATAGCGGTTTTGTTCTTGTTTGTAGGATTTTCAATCCTCTGGCAATTCAGAATTGTCTCATGAAGAAGTAGGCAAGTAGCTAATAAGTGCTCATCTAGAAAAAATCAATAATGATTGGAAAGTGGAGAATACTATTTGCTTGTGCTTTTACCCCTAGCGGTGTTTCATTATCATATAAGATCTTGATTCTAGATTAAATAGATTGATTAGTACTGGTAAAGGCTGATTAAAATTTAAATTAATAGAAAGTGAATTATGAGGTGTAAAGTCTCTCATACCTTGGGAATAAAGGCAACATGAAATGAAAGTCCCCAACATTATTATTGTTGATACCCATTAAATTAATTATAAAAACTGAGACTAAAAGACACCAGTTGAGATATTTAGCAAGATACCAACACAAAGCAATGCTCAACATCTCAATCTATACCAACACAAATAAAAAATTTTAAAAAAAGAGAAAGAAAAAAAAGGAGATACTTAATTATATATTCATTTTTAGCATTAGTGATATAGATAAACTCTATACCATTTAATTTTTATAAACAAACCAAAAAAATAACAACTGATCTTATTAAATTTAATTTTGATTATTAAATCACTTTGATACTCTATTGAGTGTTTTGATTTTTGATTTTAGGTTTTAGTCAGAATTGGGTTTATTTTAAGAAATTAATGATAGTTTTGTAATTTATAAGAAGTTCGAAACCTCTTTGTTATATTGTAAATGAGCTTTGGGTGTGTTTCTAAAGTCGATTTTATGTATGATTTTTTTATAATTTAAGCCCCTATATTAAGTATAATAGTGAATCTTTCAAAAAAAAATTTGAAGAAAATGTGAAATATTAATATATATATATATATATATATGTATATGAGAAAATATGAAAGGGCAATAAGTGTGCCAGTTGGTGAAGAGCAAAGTACTCCACATCACAGCGTTACTGCATGAACGGTGCAAACGGCCGAGATTGGCGGGGCCAAACCCACGTGGTGCGCCAACCTGCCAGCCAACATGCTTCAATCTGAGATGTCAAATGCTCAATTGTTTGCTTGTACGCTGGGACCTCCAGAGCGCGTGGAACTGAAGAGATTGTCCCTTTTTTTTTTCTTTTCTTTTATCCCAAAAATACATAAGCTTAGGGACATTTTGGAAAAAGCAAAAGGAGAGAGAAAAATTTTAAAAGAAGCAAAAATGGACAAAAATGCCTTTATTTATTTTTAGATTTCCTAAGGAATCCAATACATTTGTATGTCTTTGATTTGAAAGTTAAGTGGTTCTTTTGTCTTTTTTGAAAAAGTTTTGGCTTTTTCCAAAAGTGAAATTTTTTTTATGTCTAAAACCTAAAAAAATAATAATAATAACTCAGAGCCAAATGTGAAACTAACTTTGCATAAGTTATTTTCTTTGCTTTAATTGATTAAGGACTTTAAATCTTCTTGATTTAGAGAGCTTAATGCTATTTTCGCAATACTTTACTTTTTTCTTTTATGGTTCCATGCGGTGTATGACGATAAATTTTTTATGGAATATTCTAGATTACATATTTTGACTAAAAGTAGTCAAGAGTTGCAAAACTTGAGTAGAAGTATGTCCTTAGGCCTAGTCCAAGAAGTGAAGTTTTCTAAAGGTTTTAAAGGGATAAATAGGGGTGAAAGAAAAAACGATATTGTTTAATGTACAAAATAATTTTTTTGAATTTATATAAATTAAATTTAGTTGTTGAAATTCAGTAGGTTGCTGGTGATCGAGCCTCATACATGAGCAATGATTGTTGAAGAAGGTGGGATGCATTCATGGGGAAATTGAATTCCAAATGGTTGAAGATAAAATTGGACCACAATCAAGTTTTTGTGATAAATACATCCTACTTACTCCATTCAATTTCAATTAAAAAAGTGAATTTATCGACTAATTTTTGGTCTAGTGATATTTGTCTGCACTTAATTGAAGACAAGTTCGACTCATATAGATAACGACGACGATATATATTTATGATGAATTTGATACCTAATTATGATCTAATATTGACCCATTATAAATCTATGTTGTAAATATCAAATTGTTTGTAAAAAAAAAAAAAAAACTGAAGAAATATTCCAAACCTTGGTTCAAATAATGTGAAAAAGAAAAAAGAAACTTTAACCAAATATTCGAAAAGGAAGGAAAAATAAGGAGAACAATAAACAAAAATAAAAGAGAAAAAGGATAAAGGAAACAGAATATGGGTTATTCCCGCGTTATCTACGGGCGTAGGAATGACCCACCATTGTTTCACAATAAAGGCGCACGCATCCGGTCAAAAAAATCTTGAATACGAACGGTGTCGTTTCATCTCACCACGCTTGCCGACATAATCATATCACAACCGCACCTACGTGGCATCACTGTAGCAGTTTAAGTACCGGTCGACATGGGATTAAAGCATTTACGCGAAAAGCACACGCACCGTCAGATCCAACGGGCACAAAACATCAACGGCTAGCATGGATTGTGGGCCCCGCTCTCCCTCACTCACGTATAAATACGAAGAGACCGAAAGACGTGTAGTGTGTCAGTGGAGAAAGTCGAGAGTTATCCGTTGAGATTTTTGATAAAAATGGGAGCGACAATGGAAGAGGAGCTGAAGAGGGCAGAACCCGGGCCTGCTGTACTGGCTGAGCCTCCTCTGGCCTCGGCCCCAAACGACCTCGCTGAGGAGAAGGCCGTGTTGCCTCCGCCGCGCGAGGTTGATGTCAAGGGAGTTGATGATACAAAAGCCCTTGCCGTAGTTGAGAGTAAGTGAAAGCCTCTGCCTCTGCCTCTGCCTCTGCCTCTCTCTCTCTCTCTCTCTCTCTCTCTCTCTCTCTCACAGTGAAACAGTAAAAAGATGAAAACTTTACAGAGTGTTTGTGGTAAATTTGGTTTCTTTTTGGTTCTGTTTTACAGAGGCTCCAGAAGAAACAGTGGTGAAAAAGCCTTCTGGAGGATCGATTGATAGAGGTGATGAATTTAATTTAATTTAATTGATTTTAGTGAAATGATGAGAATGATAACTCATTATGCAGTAGTGGATTTGTAGAGAGATGGTCCGTGTGGTTGATTGTGGTGGTGTTGATGTTTTTTGTTGTGTTTTTGTGTTTTTCAGATGTAGCTCTTTCACATCTTGAAAAAGAAAAGAGTTTGTCTTTTATCAGGGCATGGGAAGAAAGTGAAAAGGCTAAGGCAGAGAACAAGTAAGGCTTGATTTTCGCTCAAATCAATTGTCCTTCAATTATTGTTATTGGGTTTTTTCTTAATAGTTCAAGATTTTGAGTCAGTACTGCTTTGAAATAAGAGCTGCATTTGTGATGAGTTTTATATGATTTAGTTTTATGAGTGATCCCCTTTTTTCCAATGGCTTATGAAATGAAACTGTCAAACACAGGGCCCAAAAGAAACTTTCTGATATTACTGCATGGGAAAACAGCAGGAAAGCAGCTGCGGAAGCCAAACTGAGAAGCATGGAGGTGACTTCCTTTTTATTTTTTCTTCTGTTTTGATTGGAATTTGGATCCAACCTCAATTTAAGTTTGGAACTAATGGGATGAAATTAACCAAATTAGTTAGAGACTTGGAATTCATTTCAGTTTATGTTCAAATTTAACAGTTTCATTGGTTATCAGGAAAAATTGGAGAAGAAAAAGACACAATATGCAGAAAAAATGAAAAACCAAGTTGCTCTTCTTCACAAACAAGCAGATGAAAAGAGGGCTTTGGCTATAGCCAATCGCGGGGAAGAATTCCTCAAGGCGGATGAGACCGCAGCTAAATACCGTGCAACTGGAACTATACCAAAGAAGTTCCTTGGCTGCTTTTGAAGTACTGCTTTGAGCCTGGTTTGAAAACAATCAATGTAACTTCCGGTTTTTTCATGTGTAAATCTTTCCTGGTTTGTTCTTTTTTTTTTCTTTTTGTTCGGGTCCTGTTTGGTCTATGTTTTGTGTGAGAACTGACTGGACTGGACAATCAGCAAATGTTCGTTATCGTCCATAGTTGTATAGGAAGTGTATTTGATTTGTGAGGTCCAAGTTTGTTACTTGTTATATACATTTAAGATCAGATGTTGCTGTCCTTGAGGACTGAAGCTTTTTCTAGTAATGGGATAACTCTACACTATTCATCTTTCGTTCTTGCTTCATGTTGTGTTGAACTTTGCATTGGCTCTCTGGAATGCTGATGGTTTAACCATTTGTCATGCGCAGAAAATTAGTAGGAACTGTTATTGACACTTCATAGCGGTCATCGTGCACTCCTCCAAGTGCAATTTTCCCTTCTCGTTTTATACCAGAGGAGTGCAGAATGACATTTTTGGAATGCCAACAGCAGTTCCCAATCAGTAAATGAGTTTTCAAATTTCAATATACTGTTGGGAAGCTATCTTCTATGACTTGTAATCACCCGGAACTTGACCGTGGATTATAGCCTCACGGGGTTTGCTCAGCTTTCAAAACAAAGCTTTCAAGAAACCGGAAGAAAAAAAAAAGGGACCAAACACCAGGCAGATAACAGGCAATAAGAGTATCTGAACTGAACCAGAGCATGGCAATGACAAAGCCTACTTCCTCTGTATAGTAACGGCATCTGGCATTTCCTATGCAGGGGCACCAGTATATTAGAATTTTAAATAGTTTTAAGCCAACCCCAAGCTGTGTTCTTGGAGCATCAAAATTATATGTCATTAAGACAATAAGAGAGATATAACTAGTTAATTCATGTCTGAAAGGATTGAGGAATATGTATCTACTATATATACTGAATCCTGAACAAACTAAGATTTGTTAAGGAAAGCCTACTTAGTGGTAACAGCACTGCCTCTAACTTGTAAGCTAAAATGTATCAAAACAGGAACCTTACTCTTAGCTCTCTAACTAAATTGACAGCTTATAGAAGACAACCACCAAAAATTCGAACAGCATCCTCAAAAAAGAACCTCCGAAGCCTGCTTCAGAGGGGGCAAATGAAAGAATTGGGTGTCCACCTAGCAGAAGTTGTTGCATAGTCATCCACATTGTCTTCAAGGAAGCTCATGTCATTGTTAATGGGGAAATTCAGCAGCAGCTGCAATGCAGTGTCCGACGAGTCCTCTAAATCATTGGAACATGAGGAGTCCGACCCGGCCATCACATCTTTGGTGTTCAACCGCCAGGGCTTGTACTCCAAATCTTCAGTGTTGGATTGGAAGATCTTGTATCCCATATCTTCAGTGTTGGTCTGGCAACTCTTGTATTCCAAATCTTCAGCGTTGGTCTGGCAAATCTTGTATCCCACATCTTCAGTGTTGGTCTGGCAAATATTGTGTCCCACATCTTCAGTGTTGGTCTGGCAAATCTTGTCTTCCATATCCTCGTTTTGGTCTCCGGCCATGGTTGATGACCCTGTTAAGGTGTTGCCAACTTCTGTTGTCACAGCTGACACTGATCCACATTTCGTCGACGAAGATGCCTGAGAAATGGGGCTAGGGCATGCAGATTTATCCACGGTAGTGAGGTTTCTGAATGCTTCTCCAACTTCAGAGTTCCATAAGCGTAGAAAATAGTCAGGCTCGGATTTCTCCGGAGGTTGGCTGAAGAGTGATGACTCCCTGGAAAGCCGAGCCTCAGCTTCAAGCCTAGCACTCTCCCATTGTGCCATGTGACGGGTGGCCAGGGAAGCAGGTGCTGTGCTAGTTAAACAGTTAGAGTCAACGGGCTTATGTGTTTGTGGATCAATCCCCATGAGGAGGAGACGCTTCTTCAGGTGTGTGTTCCATAAATTCTTGATCTCATTGTCAGTTCTTCCAGGCAACTGAGAAGCTATAGCAGCCCACCTGAAAATTGTTTTTGATACAAGCAAGAGAGTGAGAAACAGGACAAATTTTCTGCAACAGATTCAATCATAGCATGATATTCAGAATATGCTGTAACTTTTCATGTGTTTTTCATCACATAATATGAATGACAAGTTGGTCTTCACGTGGTCTTAATGTCTTGTGTTGTTTAATACACAGTTAACGAAAGGTAAATCAGTTCTAAATTTCCAAAAGATGGGCGTATCACAGTTCGAAAGCAAGCCGAGAATCGCAAATGTACTACCTGTTTCCGAGTATGCCATGAAGCTGCATGATAAGCTTCTCTTCGTCCTTGGTGAAGGGGCCTCTTTTAATGTCTGGCCTAAGATAATTTGTCCACCTGAGCCGACAACTCTTCCCACAGCGTAGAAGACCTGTTGAAAGAGAAAACCACACTCAATATATGAACAAGACCAAGAATCTTAAACTAAAAATGAACTAATCAAGCACAATATTAATTATTTGGATTTACCCCCAACTTCCTATAATGTTTTAAACATAAGATCCAAGACAACTCAGAGAAAAGGGGAGCCAGACATGAAAAGAGTCAAAAGCAATTATACTTGTACAGAACCATACAAAATGTAAACAAAGAAGGCAGCAAAACAACCTTTTTAAAGAAATGTCTATCTGGTTTTCTTCAACACAAAATAAAGGTTGAGAAAACGATTAACCTGGACTAATGGTGAAATTTTCTCAAAGTAACTTTGGTTCAGCGCATTCATCCACACACACCAAAATGAAAAAGAAAGAGGAAAAGAATAAGGGGAAAGTAATAAACAGATTTGCTTGCAAACTGTAAATAAAAACACATACAGAAGGGGAAGGTAACTATAATTTAACTCATTCACCAAAGAAAAAGAGGAAAAGAACAAGGGGAAAGTGGTAAACAGATTTGATTTTGCAAACCAACTTATAAAAAAGAACATAATTTCAAGTAAGCCAAGAGGTTAATGGGGCCTCTGGGACCAAAGACTAAAACCCATCACTCCTAGTCCCTCAAAGTTCAAGCACAACCATCTGACTCAGTAGACATGAAGAAAAACTTGACACTGTTAAGTTAGCACTTTAAGATGTCCTTTACATCACATGAAAGAGCTTTTCTTTGACATCAGAAAACAACAAACCAAAGCAGCAACTTTTGGGTGTCAAAAGGCAATATGGACCAAACCAAGACAGAAACTAACATACAGAAAGAAGGAAAGTAAGAAACACCCAAAGAAACCTGCAAGCTTGGGGAGAGAGCGCCAGCTGCCATGGCCATTATTCTTGTTGATATAGTTCAGAAGAGCCTCATCCTCTTCAGCTGACCATGGCCCCCTCTTCAATCCTCTATTGTCACAACAAGGAGACCTTCCCATATCTCACACACCCTTTTAATTCCCAACACAGAGACAGTGAGAGACACACAACCACAACCACCACCCTCCACCAATCCACCACTACCAAACACCAACAATAAAGATCCCAAGTAACCCAATTTAAAGCTCCACACACCCTTATCTTTATGAGGAGAAAAGAGGATTTGCAAATTAATGCTGGAGTTTGATCTCTATCTGGATGAAAAAGGAGAAGGTGATATATATTTAATATATAGAATTATGGATGTGGGTTGTCTGAAAGGAAAGGATGTACAAGTTCAGCTAGTTTCAAGCTGTGTTTTGCAATAAATGTTTGGGGTTTGGTGGTACGCAGAGAGAGAGAGAAAATATTGTATCATCATTGAAAAGTTAAAGACTTGGCCCCAACAATGAAAGAGAGTTAATGGTGGGATTTCTTTTTTTTTTTTTTGAGGTTTTCATTTACACTCAACTGGAAAGAGAGAAAAGCCAAATGCAGGGAAGATGACAGTGACAACATTAATGGTGGATTCTCACACAGAAAGACAGAGTAATATTTATTTAGAGAGAGAGAGAGACAGAGACAGAGAGAGAAGAACTTGGAAGGCATTAATGGCAAAGACAATGACCTGCAGTCTGCAGAGTACGGACACACCAAGAAATGAAATGACCATGCATTTCCATTTTCCTTTATGTTTCTTAATTTATAAGAAATTTTAGATACTACCCATTAAATCTAGCTAAGCCAATTAGACCATGGTTGGTCACTCAGGAAATGGAAGTGGAAAACTAAGATCTTTTCTTCTCCATTTTTCATGCTTGCATGCAGAGCAACCCTCGTTCGATTGGTTCGAAACTTGAGGAAGTGGAGGAGAAGAAGAAATTAACTGTGGGTTTGCTCAGTTTTCTCTGTTGGCTCATTGCATGGATTTGAAAATATTTATTAGATTACAGGCTTTATTATAAATGCTCTGCCTCAATAGAAATAATGCTTTAACCAAATTTTATATATTTCATTGAATATTTTCACAATTATCATAATAATCAAGAGTTCATTTATTTTATTTTTTTCCCTGTAAGTGAATAATTTCTATGTTTGCTGTTTGAAATTGGATTGAGGAAGTTGAGGAGAGTCAGAGAGAAGTCAAATTTGGAAAAAGTGGGGCAAAGTCCATTTCAATCCCAATCTAATAAATGTGGTCAATTGAACTTTCAAAGTCAAGTTTCTGCAACCCCATGTTACTCTACTCCTTTGGTTCATGCTCATCTTTGCCATTTCCTTTTTCCTCTTTTAATTTTTTTTATATAAATAAATTTCATGTTGACAGAAACTACAGAGAGTCATGTGACATGTTCATATATGCTACACATACAAAAATAATAATCTACATGGTGCAGTGAAAATCTCCTATACCAACATGTTCATCTGTGTCAGGATTAAATTACTGGTCTTGCAAACATTTATACCATGACATAAATAGCTGAGACCTGATCAGAGATGGATGAAAAATTTCATGGGAGGCATGGATAATGGAATAGGTTTTTTTTTTTATTTTTTTATTTTTTTATATATAAAGAAAAATTTGTAATGGTGAGAAAAATAAGTGGACAAGAAGCCAACAGTTTTGCTTGTTTATCTAATATTTCTCTTTATTAGGCGGTGGAGCATTAGGTTTGTAGGTAGCTAGGGATGAGTCTGTCTGTGAGAACTGTGGCTGGCTGGGGTCAAGCAATAAATATATATGGCAGAGAGACGAGAGATATGGAAGGAAGGTTGAGGGTCTTGAGATTTCAGAGTTGGCCTGTTTTTCTTTTGTTGTCGGCTGGTACTTCATGCTTGTACTGTTCACACATTAATTGAATGCCTAAGGACTTTGTTTTGTTTACCAAAGGCTTCTAAAGTATAAATCACTTGATCAAGTTTTTAAAATAATTGATGAACAGCATGTGATGCAAATTTGACACTTGAAATTGGATGGTAAGTATGTGTTTTGATTTGTGGTTTTTTGCACTTGAAAAGGAGTAAGAGGTTTGTTTAATTTTCATTTTGAGTTGTTCGGCTCTTTACACGTGAGTTCAATCTTCTTTTTCGTAGTGTAAATTAGATTTGATAATCACTTCCTCAAGCAAGGTTTTGCATTATGATTTCAAAAAGATAAAGTTTTGTTGGGGTTTTGGTCAACACATTTCCATTTCCAGCACTTTGAAATAGTAGTACGGAAATGTTAGATTCCATAATTTTGATGTAGACGTTTAGTAAAATGACCACTAAGCATGAAAACCTATTAATTCCAGCTAGAATCATCATTGCGTTGCTTACAAAATCAACATTAGTTTTTCTGTGGAGAGGGATGTTCAAACCACAATGCTTGCTGCCCAAGCAAGCAAAACCACTTCTATTTCCAACCAAGGTGCCCTCCCAAATGGTAGCTGCAGATTCTGTCAGGTCTACCCCTTGACCATGAGCATAACCAAGGAAATAAAAAGTTGTTTCTTTACTATTAAAAAAAACAGAATTGTTTCTGCAATCTGCATAGATTAAAAGGTTGTTTCTTGTCTAACAAGTAAGAAAACCAACTTATCTAAAAAGCACCAAAGGGTGTCGCAGACCCCAATAGTACAAGGAAAAAAATAGCTTTGAGAAAGTGATTCTAGTAGTAGATATGTACAAAAATCTTGAAAGTGGAACAAAAAACCGAAGGGAAAAAACAGTATGAGATCTCCTTTGGAAGCATTCAATAAAAGCTAGCTTTAAAAAAGTGATTTTTCCCACCAACAGGTATGTTTGCTTGTAATATTTGGGTATAGTTATTCTACAAGGTATATATGCCGCAGCGAGCAAGATCCTAGCATGTATCACAACTATACTTTGTTGGCAAGGTTAGACAATGATAGCTCATATGATGAATTAAGTCCAGACAATATGATGAAGTTTTATATAAAAGTGGAATGTGTGCTAAACATTTCTTGCACCAAATTATAAGGAATAAAGTTTTTTTTTTTTTTTTTTAATTTGCTTTTGCTTTTCTCCTCTTTATAAGTTTCTCTCTCTTGATGTACAACTAAAAATTATGTAGGAAGAAAGAAAGTGGAATAATATGATATGAAAGTGAATTTGGGAATTGGAGCAATGAATTCTCACTGTTTTTCTTTTTCTTCTAATGAAAAGATTTACAATAGTATGGATCACTTCAGGCACCATTATATATGCATTGAATTTATATATAAACACTAAAACCTATAATTTGAATGATGTGTGAAATACCATTATTATCCTTGCATTAAGATTTTTAGAAAAAAAATACACGGATGACATTGTTGTAGTCTTTTAGGTTTTTCAAGGCTTGTATGGTATATTCAGTCCCTTTGAAAAGTCAAATAAGTTTTTTTTCCTAAGATTTGGGTGTTGTAGGGTTTTTCTATCTTTTGGGCTCTATTTACGGGCTTACATGTGAAAAGCCCTAAAAAAATTACAAAAATTGACAACGGAAAGGCTATAGGAGCACTGTTTTCTGATAATTTCCCAATTCATTAGAATCATGAACCCAATAAAAAATAACTTATTTGAATTGGTACAAATATTAAATTTCCCACATTAATTTCTCAATAAAAATTGAAACAAAAAAGAGGATACAACTAATATCCATGATGATTTTGTTTAAACACAACCCACCAAAAATCAGCTTACAGTCTCAAAGTAATCTGTGAACAAGTTATACATATATTTGAACAAGATGGGATAGCTTGCTCCCAAAAGAAAGAAAGAAAAAGAAAAAGTTCAGGTAGCTCTGAAAGGCAAGGAATTTGTGGCAAAATGCATCTTAAGATTCCTCTGGTGGTGGTTGGTCGGTCTGGTCCTTAGATTCTGGTTCTGTTGTTGGTTCTGGTTGTGGCTCAGGAGGGGCTTCTGCAGCAGCTGGCTCAGTAGCTAGTGCATTTTTCCTGTTTGCAGCAGCCTGGAGGACATGGCTGTAATTTCCTTTCTCCAGGAAGAGCTGAGAAAAATGGTGCTTGCAGTAAAGAACTCCATCAAGAGCAGCATAGGATGAATGTGTAAGAGGGCAGCCCCCATGAGCACACCTGAAGCATGACTTGTGGTAACTTTCTCCCTCCAATGTCACCTGTTTAAATTAGAGCATCAGAGAAAATGAAAAATAATTAAATTTCTCAATCCTTAAACCTAGCTAGTTTGTGTTTGCTTGTGGAAGAAGAAACTAAAATTTCCTTTGGGTTACCTTCTCCAGTGGATAGACTGTCTTTGAGCAAGTTGCACACTTGTCTAGGGTTCCAGAGAACATGGAGGAGAGTTTGCTGGGGGCCCTATTCTGTTGAAAGTATCACAGTTCATATTAATACCTCTGCAATTTTAAGATCAATATATATATATTTTATATATATATATATATATGTTTGGTCAAAATCCAATGGTTGACATTCATCCTAGAAAGCAAAATACTTTCTCTGGATTTAAACTAAGTTTGAATGCCAACCATCGGATTTAAAAATCTAATGGTTGGTGACGATGGTCAATGGACAATATGCTTTTTTCTTGGCATAGGATATAGATGCATGTGACAATGAAAATACATACCAGTTGTTCATTTTGCTTCTCAGCAGACTTTGCTGCAACAAAATTCATCAGAAAACAACTAATGTTAGCAAACAGAGGATTATCTGTTAATGATGCATATTAGCTAAAAAAACTAAAAGAAGTAAAGACAAGGGAAAAGTCTCACGTTGGAAATTCTTGCTGAAATTCCCAGATTCTTTGAAAAGCTGCTCAAAATGAGGTTTGCAGTAGAGGACTCCATCCATGGAGGAATAGGTGCTCATCTGTCAAAATATTTTTTCTTAACCATTTGCATATTTGGATGATATTCAACCAAGGGTTTGTGATCTTTCAAATGAATCAAGACTTGGTCATAAATATCAAAAATTAACTTCGCAAATGTCCATGTCTCAGTGCCATTAACTGCCTTGTAAATTTGTTCTGCTCAATCGTATGGATGATTGTGAACCGTTGACGTAAGTTTTACAAATCAATCAATGGTTGACAATCGTTCACGCCTAAGCCGAAGCAAAACTAAAAAAAAAAAAATACATACATACGTGTGTTGCAAAATTAAAACACAGGTAAAATGTGACGAGAGAGAAATATATGTACCGAGAGAAATCCTTTGCA